AATTCGGAGGACAAATCAGAATTTCTGAAAGAAATCGGGCAGAATTCGAAAGAAAATTCGGAATAAAATTCATATTTTCTGAAAAAAATCGCTCAGAATTCGGGAGAAAAATCTGAAAAAAAAAAAAATCGTCAAACCAGTTAAAAATAAAAAAACACATATTTATTCTACTCTACGTTTGGATATTTTCCGAATTTTTTTTTTCGCTAAAAACGCAGGAAAATTTGTAAAAATTCTAAAAAAAAACCTTCAGAAAATCGGATCTGTTTCTACCAGAAATATCTGAAAAAAAAACGTCAGAAATTCCGGAAAATAATCTAAAATCAGAGCAGTCGGAACAAATTGTTTACTGGGTGCCAGCCTGGCTGAGGTAATTCAAGAAGAAGGAGGTCAAATATTTAACTCTTAACTGGCTATCATTAATTTTCCAGAAAACTTCGTTTTGCCACTTGACAGTTCAATCAGATGGCATGCAAATTGTGGAATTAAATTGCTGGCGATATAATCATGGGGGTGACTTGCACACACCCCCTCACTGAAACAGTAATTGATTTTTTTATTTATTCCACATTTTATTTTTTTTTTTTTTTTCAAAATTTATTCCATTTCTCGATTTTAAAAACCTCTGTCTAAATATAAATAAATTAATACTACCATATTATTGTTGTAAATAAATATAAATATTCATGAGTGTGTGTTTTTTTTTTGCAATATGTGTTTTTGTAGTTGTTGTTGTTGCCTGTTTTCTAGTTCACTTCTCTCTCAATGTTTGGTGATACACATTTGATCTGGGCATTATAACGAGGAATGGAAAAAAATACAAGTCCCGCTCTTGTTTTATTTTTAATAGAAAACTGACCATAAATGGTTAACCGCGGCGAGTCACCGAGGCTGATGTCGTTCAATGTTGCTGTTGTTGTTGACGTTGCCGTTGCTGCCACTTAAGTACTTATTTTTATTTCTGGCAATAAAGTACAACAGCAACAACAACATCAACAATTAACTCGCACCGTGTTCTGTCCGCGGTCTGCGCATATTAAAATTTAGTTCGCTTACTTTGTTTTTTATTTAATTGATTCATTTATCATAATTAAAAACAATGTGAATTTAATTTGATTAATAAAACACACCGTTGTTGAAAGAATATATTTTTTTGGACAAATTGTTGAAAATTGTTATTTCGGGTTTAATTAGAGAAGAAAAAATAAAAAAACTCAAAAAAGGAGAAATACAGCAATTTGAACTAAATTAAATAAAAAAAAATTGAAATATATTGAAATGTGTATCTCCTTTTTCTATGGAAAAAATCTGCAAAGGTAGTTTCAAAAAAAAAAAACCTCGAAACTCAGTTATAGAAGAACCTCGAACCTCAGATTGCCTTTGGTAATATTGCAGACACAAATACGAGGAATGTTTTGTTTGAACATTATCTTGAATCTCAAGAGGGTCTTTTTTTTCCAAAATATGGTTAAAATCTTCCTTAAAATTGCAAAATATCATGATAAAATATTCCACAAAATTATTTGTTATAAAATTCTACTACTGGCTCTAGAGGAGGATCAAAAGACTAAAGCTTAACTAAACGTCGTGAATTCACCAAATACACATTTTGTGGGGTTCAATCCTAACTCCATAGGAGTTTAGGCAAAATTCGCCTATAAAACATCATTTTAGAAGGTTGATTTCAAAGACAAAAATATTCTTCATCAAATTTCACTATAAGTTTGCAAAGAAAAGAAATCTCTATTTCCTCGGCATATAAAAAAATATTCGCATCAATGTTGATAAAATAACTCGAAAATCTTTCTTAATTTTTTTATACATTTTTCCTCAGCCTGTTTTTCAATTTGACGCCTGAAAGTAACATAAATTTTCGTTTAAGGCCAAAGGGGTCAAAGGAAGAAATATTCTACACAAAATTTCACTACAAATTTCAGAGTAAGCGGTGCATCTAGGTATTATAGTTTTTTAAGAAAATTAGATTCGAAATGTATGTACTAAAAGTGAAATTTACTCTTTTTCTGCACACATTTCTATTCGAAGACAAAATCTACCTTTATAATTAATTTTTTTGTGGAAAGTCTCAATGGAGGAAATATTCTACACAAAATTTCACTCTAAATCTCAGAGTAAACCATATATCTAGGTACCATAATTTTTATGAAAATTACATTCGTAATTTATGTACTGCAAGTGAAAATTATGTGTTTGCTATTTTTTAGCTGTTATTTAAAACACGTTTTCATTCCAAAACGAAATCTCCAATAATACTCCATTTTTTGGGGAAGATGTCAAAGGAAAAATTATTCTAAATCAAATTCCACTATGGGTCTCAGAATAAATCATATATCTAGGTACAATAGTTTTAAAGAAAATTACACTCGAATTTATGCACTACAAGTGAAAAAGTGGTTTTTCTTTTTTTAGCTGTTATTTATAATTTTTTCAATCTAAGTCAAAATCTCCCTCAATACTTCATTTTTAGGGGAAACTGTCTGAGGAAGAATTATTCTAAATCGAATTCCACTATAGGTCTCACAATAAATCATATATCTAGGTACAATAGTTTTAAAGAAAATTACACTCGAATTTATGCACTACAAGTGAAAAATATGTGTTTACTTTTTTGCTGTTAATTTAATACGTTTCAATTCGAATTCAAAACTCCCTTAATACTTCATTTTTTGGGGAGAGTGTAAAAGGAGGAAATATTCTAAATCAAATTCTGCTTTTAATCTCAGAATAAACCATATACCTAGCTTTAATAGTTTTTATGAAAATTGCATTTGAATTGAATGCACTACAAGTGAAAATGTGTGTTTGCTTTTTTTTCCTGTTAATTTAACACGTTTCCATTCTAAGACAAAATCTCCCTTCATACTTCATTTTTTGAGGAAAATGCTAAAGGGAGAATTATTCTAAATAAAATTCCGCTATTAATCTCAGAATTAACCATATATCTAGCTACAATAGTTTTTAAGAAACTTACAATCGAATTATTGTGTATTACAAGTAAAAAAGTGGTTTACCCTTTTTTAGCTGTTATTTTAACATGTTTCCATTCTAAGACAAAATCTCCCTTCATACTTCATTTTTTGGGGAGGGTGTCAAAGGTGGAAATATTCTAAATCAACTTCTACTATAAGTCTCCAAATAAACCATATATTTATCTGCAATAGTTTTTAAGAAAATTTCATTTGAATTTAATGCACTAAAAGTGAAAAATATGTGTTTGCCTTTTTTCATGTTAATTTAACATGTTTTCCATCTAAGTCAAAATCTCCCTCAATACTTCATTTTTTGGGGAAATTGTCAGAGGAAGAATTATTCTTAATCAGATTCCGCTATAAATATCAGAATAGACCATATATCCAGCCTCAATAGTTTTTAAGAAAATTACAATCGAATTTTTGTGTACTACAAGTAAAAAAGTGGTTTTCCCTTTTTAAGCTGTAATTTTAACATGTCTCAATTCTAAGACAAAATCTCCCTCAACGCTTCTTTGTTTGGGGAAAGTGCCAAAGGTAGAATTATTCTAAATCGGATTCCAATATAAGTCTCAGAATAAACCTTATATCTAGCTGCAATAGTTTTTAAGAAGATTACAATCGAATTTTATGTACTAAAAGTGAAAATTTGTTTTTGCCTTTTTTAGCTGTAAATATAACATGTTTCCAATCCGAATTTAAATCTCGCTTTAAAATTAATTTTTTGGTGGAAAGTGTCAAAGGAAGAATAATTCTAGATTAAATTTCATTGTGAGTCCCCGAACAAATGAAATTTGTTTATTTAATATTTACCATGAAAAATATCATAAATTTTCATTGAAATTTTTTTTTTCATTTTTGAAAAATTTAACATTTTTTTCCAATTCGCTGCAGATGTTCTTAAAAATTCTCTGTGCAACAACCAATCATGGTTGTCGAAAACACCAAGTGGATTTTATAGTATGCGATTTGTAGATCGAAACTTGAATGGAGTTTCGGGTTCCTAGGCCATATGTTGTTATGACCCTTATAAAGTTTTGACCATATATACAATTAGGATAGAGCTCTGAAATTTTTAATCTTTGAATCGTTCATAATCGGTCCCACAATTTGTTTGGAAAGAAAAATCTGATAGAGCCCACAGTATTCGGTCAGGAGGCCCTTGGACAATTTACAATAATTGGTCAGGAATCCTTGTAAATATATTCTTAAAAGATTTACTATATCTCTTTTTCGCCAATATTCGGTGGAAATATTTTCTGTGGAAGATATTCTTAAAATATCAGTTTTTCTCGAGGAAATCATAGATAATAATTTCGTTAAAAAAGCACGATATTTGGTCTAGGGATTCTTGTTATTTTTCAGAAATTAATATCCACGATTTTGATCAGGGATGCTTGAGAACATGTTTAAAATAACTACGATATTTGGCTCGAAGATCTTTGTAAAAATATTTTTTTTTAGCTAGGCGAACCTTGACTTAATATTCATTATCCAGGAAGATTCAATAAAATTATTCCTAAAATAAGTATTTTAGATCGTAATATTTTTTTCGTATAAAAAATTTGATATTTGCTTCGGAGGTCTACATTTTTCTGAAGAGAATATACATATTCGAAAAAAATGCTAACTCAAGCTTCTGGTTTTTTTTTAAATTCTGTTTCTATTGTATCCTATAGAAAAATGGCTAACTTTAGCTATTGTATAGAAAACATTTTAAAATTCAGTCTCTGAGGACTTATTTCCATTAAAATGTTAGAACAATTAGAAGACATTCTAATAAAGAAAGAAGTCGATCTTAGGTTTCTAAAAGAGAAAATATTTTCTATAAAAAGATTCAAGCTTTCTTTTGGAGGTTTGTTTTCCACATACTTATACCCTTTTTTATGAGGTTTATATTTTTTCTTGTTGAAGTCGTCTCATTTCCAGCTGCCAGTTGCCGAATTCTAAATTTTCTATTCTTAGTTTCTTCCTCAAAAAATTAAATTTTGTGTTTTCTTTTTTTATTTTCAGAAATTGCCCGCGTTCGTGCCTCACTATTCCAAATAAATGGTGTGAAAAAAGAACCCCTAATGTTGCCAGAACCCGAGGGAGCCACTGTGTCATTAAATGAAAAAGTCTATGTACCTGTGCGAGAACACCCAGATGTAAGTACCACGACATTACATTTCATTGTGTGTGTGTGTTTTTTAAATAATTGAAGGAAAAGTTAAAATTCAACGTTGGGCGCCATTGCTCCTTTTTAGCAACATTTGTATAGTTCATAAAGAATTCGGTGCGACAAAAGTCGTTTCATAACTTCCCACCACTCCATACGAATTACGGGAAGTTCCTTTTTGGCTAATGAAAAAAAAAACTTTCAATAGGTTCTCTATTTGTAGATGATAATGGCGCCCAATCTATTTTTTTTAATAAGTAAATATTACCAGTAAATTACGTTGGGTGCCATTTGCAGACGATATTGGCGCCCAATGTATGTTTTTTTTTAATAAATAATTCCTCGGCTACAATTCTTGCACAAATGTCACAGAAATACAAAATTGTCAAAATTCGCACAGATTTCAGTCAAAAATGTATTTTAACCTTCCCACGCCGCATGCGTATTCTACGAAGTTCTTTTTGGCTACTAAAGACCTCTCAATAGATTTTCTTTGATCTTCCAATGGGTTTTTTATTTACAGACGATAATGGCGCCCAATGTATGATTTTTTAATAAGTAAAAGAAATATTACCACTCAATTTACGTTGGGCGCCACTGCATTACTTATGGTTGATTAATTCTTTCCTTATTAACAGATTGCATCTGAATAGGGATTTCCAGGTGTCTTCTTATCTCAATTTTGTAGACGAATTGGCCAGGCTAGGATCCGAATCAACTACAATTGAAGTAGATAACTTGGTTAAACCACCACTGTGCCACTTCCTACAGGTCATTCACAGACATCCAACAAATAGGGCTGGGCGAAATGTGTTGCACCATCTCCAAAAGAATCTGGCCCACACTCTCAGAGAAGAGAACAAAGTCGCTTCTGTGATTTTCGAAACCCGATCTAAAACTTGTGGTTGGTATCATCACAGGTCACTGTAAGGTGAGGGCAATGACCACGAAATGAGACAGCGACGACATTGACTACTGTAGGATCTGTCAAGATGAAGAAGAAATCGAGACAGTCGAACACTTGATCTGCCACTGCCCAGCACTCATTAATGTGAGACACAGGCTGGTGGGAGAACTAGTGTCACATGATCTGTCTTCTTTTTCTAACACTGACCCTATAGTAATCCTTCAATTAGCCAGAAGATTCAGCCGTAGATCACACTCTAAAATCCTATCTCTTATCTTCACCTCCTTCTATCAACCACTACTTCCTTTTTCCTTACTATTCTTCTAGGATGAACACAATGGACCTATAGGTCTCCGAGTGGGTCGGTTGTCATATGGCAACTGCGCGTCCTTTAACCTAACCTAACCTATCTCAATTTGAAATGTCGTTCATCTTCTCTAAACCGCTTCTGTATAAAGAAATAACTAATGTGACTTCTGGACATTAAATACCCGTTAATGTTCTCCAAAGCCCCTTTCTTTGGATATTTCATAGAAAACCGAAGTTTGTCCAGAATTCAGTTTGAATGTCGTTTCAAAACTTCCCCATGCCATATGCCAACCCTGAGAAGTTCTTTTTGGCTTCTGAATGAATTTTCTTCAAGCTTTCAATGGGGTTTCTATTTTCAGACTGTAATGGCGCCCAATTAGCAGTTAATTTGAGTTGGGCGCCGTTGCATCACTCTTGGTTAATTAATTCTTTCCTTATTAAGAGACCCCATCCGAATAGGAACATTCAAATGTCTTCTAATCTCAATTTAAAATATCGTTCTCCTTCTCTAAATCGCTTCTGTACTTTAAGGTGACTTATAGCCATAAAATACCCGTTAATGTTCTCCATATCCACTTTCTTTGTAATTTTCATAGAAAGCCGAAGTTCGAACAGAATTCAGTTTGAAAGTCGTTTCAAAACTTCCCCACGCCACATGCGAACTCTGAGAAGTTCATTTTTCGCTACAGAATGCCTCTTAATAGATTTTCTTTAAGCTTCCAATAGGTTTTCTATTTGCAGATGATAATGGCGCCCAATTTATGGTTATCTGAACATACAAAAGTTACTCTGAATTTGTGGCTGTTTCCAAGATTCTTTTTTTTTTCTTCTTCCATGGGGTCTACACATTCCGGCCTTTAAGATTCGTTTAATTTCAACTGCAACATTTTCCTCCATTAGATCAGTTTCCGTTAATTTAAATTGACAAACCCTGTCTTTGTTTTGTTATTTGAGTAGTTTTGTTGTCTGTCTCGTATCTGGATCTCCTCTTTCTTCTCTCGCTTCTCATCGATTGGTATTTAATAACATTATTTTTCAATAGGTTTTCATTGTTTCGACACGAGAATTGGGATTTAAGAGTTGTTACGTTCGAATAGATGTCTAGAATGTAGGGAAGGAGGGAGAGAGGAGGGGGAGAAGCAAGCGTTTTTTTTTTTTGTTTTCTTCGGCGTTTGAATAATTTTGTTTAAGCTCAATGAATATCTGGTACACCGGAAATCATTTTTAAGGTGTGCCCTCCCATCGTCATCTAGGCGGCTCGCTCCATCCACACTAATGTGGAATGAGTGTCGTCCACACTAATGTTGTGACAGACAGCGACAAAAGACAATAGATTTCAGTTTCAATGGAATTGAATGGATTTTCTTAATATTGTCATTTCGTTGGTTTTCAGTTTTGTTGTTGTTGGTATTCTGAATAAATCGGAAACAAAGGGAGAAGGCAGTAAAGTAATCGCTTAATAATATCAAGTTGATATCTAGACGATATTTCGAAATCAATTGAAATTTGGCTTACTGCCACATAAATTCATGGCAATTAAGACGATATTCAGTTACATGATTTTGGTGGTAAAAATAAAAGTGGCGCCCAACGTGGGGCAATCACCTACAAAATTCGTAGTAACATCAGATAATGCTTCGAAATATCCTACTTGGTATTGGTGATTGTTTAAAGGGACTTGGTTTTTTAATAAAATTTTATTTTGAATTGTTTTTCAAACGCAGTTTTGGAAAGCGGCGCCCAAAGGGAAAAATAAATTTCAAGGTAGAAAAATTGGTAGTATTTTCATCTTAGATCCGATGTCAAACATCATTTTCGATCTATATTTATATTCTTGTTCAGTTTATTACTAAATATATTATATTTTTTCCAAGCCAATACATTTTTAAATCATTTAAACCAAAAGTCAACCACTGTATTATACCCAAGGCAGATTTTAGATTGTTTTTTTATTTCTAATTACGATTTATAAACTAAAACGATTTTTTTATAAATGGCGCCCAACGTGATTTTAACTATGTGTTTATTCCTCTTTCGAGACGAGCTTAATAATTTGAAATTTGCATTGAAAAGGAAATCCAGGTAGACACTATCACACACTCACCACTATGCGACGCGTTTCGCTTACCGTTTTATTTATTTTTCTAGATAATTTTTTTATTTTTTCTGCTTGGCGCCCAACGTGAATTTTTAATTTAAGCACCAAATATAATATTCTAGCTTCAAATATAATATTGTAACTTCCTTTCCTCTTACTGTTGTAAATATTCCATTTCTTTATCTAATCTCTCAAATTCCATATTACATTTTCATAAAATGGCGCCCAACGTTTTTTTGTTTGCATTACCGAAAAAATTCCCAAAAATCAAATATTATTCTTCCGTTGAAGTGTTAACATGTATTTTTTTACATAAACAATTAATATTTTACGCATTTACATTTATCCGCCAAATACATACAAACTACCATACAGTCATTCTCGAATCGACATAGGCTAAGCAATTTGATTTGAAATTTCCCCAAAAAAAACCAAAAAAATCAATTGTGACGCCATATGTTGTGTGGTGTTCTTAACACACAACATTTGGTTGCAATGATGGCTTTCGCGTTCTAATCACATCAAATGAACGGGAAGAATGTGTGTGCATGATTTCATTTCATTTAGTTTTCATTTTCATTTCAATCGTCAGCCACGGCACAACACACATGGACGAGAGATGTACTACCAGCCATTTGGTACATGAAGATTGTGGCCATATTTCAAATTCTTTGGGGGCAATTTTTAAAGGCAACTTGAAATTTACACCCATCATAGCTCTCAACTACAACAATTTGGAGCGGGGAGAGAGAGAGGGAAAATTTTCGACAGTTTTACAAAAAATACCACAACTGAACTATGGATCTTCCTTAGAGAAGACCTTCAGGCGTTTACCATAAAGACAAGAGGTATTTGACGTAAATACTTCAGACTTTACCGTAAAGACTTAATGTTTTTTACAGTAACGACTTGGGGTCTTCACTGTAAAGACGTGAGGTTTTTACCGTAAAGACAAGAGGTCTTTACCTTAAAGACATGAGGTCTTTACCGTAAAAACATGAGGTCTTTTCCATAGAGACTTGAGGTCCTTACCGTAAACACTTAAGTCCTTTACCGTAAAGACTAGATGTGTCTTGAGTTTTTTACGGTAAATACCTCAGATCTTTACAGTAAAGGTCTTGAGGTCTTTGTAGTAAAGGTCATGAGGCCTTTACCGTAATGACTTGAGGTCTTTCCTGGAAGTACAAGAGGTCTCTCTCGTACAGACTTGAGGTCTGTATCGTAAAGACTTGATGTCTTTACCGTAAAGACTTGATGTCTTTACCGTAAAGACTTGAGGTCTTTTTACCATAAAGACTAGAGGTTTTTACCGTAAAAAATAGTAGCATTTACGGTAAAGACTTGAGGTGTTTGCGATAAAGATTTGTGGTCTTTACCGTAAAGACTGAAGTTTTTACGGTAAAGACCTCAAGTCTTTACGGTAAAGACCTCAAGACCTCAAGACCCCAAGTCTTTATGGTAAAGATCTCAAGTTCTTACGCGAACGTCCTCAAGTCTTTACGGTATAGACGTCAAGTCTTTACGGTAAAGACCTCAAGTCTTTACGGTAAAGACCTCAAGTCTTTTCGGTAAAGACCTCAAGTTTTTACGTTATAGACCTCAAGCCTGTACGGCAAAGACCTCAAGTCTTTACAGTAAAGACCTCAAGTCTTTATGGTAAAGATCTCAAGTTCTT